TCAGCGATGCGGCATTCTTAAATCACTGAAAAACATATCTATATATATACATAAATGAAAAAATTGAACTACGATGACCTTTTCGAATCTCTACTATCAGCGCCGATTTAACATTTTCTCCTTATAAAATGTATTTCTTTATTATTTATAAACACAAATTGAATATTTTTTATTTAAACTTAATTCCATCAAATAATATCAACTAATTTATAAGAAAAAAGAGCTTTTAAAGTATACGGGCTACTTTTTGTGCTAGATTATCTGCATAGAGCAAAAAAAAAGATTATTATATATCATATTTTCATAATATCATAATTTTTCTTACTATGAGTGTTAAAACTATTAGAAATAAAAATGTTCGTGTGATTTGGGGGTTGCGGTTCCACTTCGATATTCACTGGCCTTTGCCTTCGCCTTGGCCTTGGCCTTGGCCGTAGTTTCGGCCGTCGACGTCGTTTTAAGCCCATTGGTGCTGCCAAAGTATCACCAAGACATAAGAATATCACAAAAATTAAAAGCCACTGAAACTGGAAGTATTTCATTTCGAAGCTGTCTCAGTTCGAATTCACAAGAGAGACTACTTCCAATTCAGTGATGCGGCATTCTTCAATAATTACAGATCACATATAAGTATATTTATGTATATACTTATATATATCAGTGACAAATTTAATTGCGATGACCTTTCCGAATCTCTATTATCAGCGTGGATTTAGCCTTGCAGAGTTTGCAAGCTTTGAAGCGTTGAAGTAAACAAGCAGCTAATATTCTCTAAAAATTTAAAATTGAATAGACATTTATATACACTTATCAACTTTATTTAAATACATATAAATACAAAACAAAATAAACAGCAGCTTAGCCAATGTGAATATCTGCAATGACCAAGAAAATTTTGTGAAAAATTTTTCAATAAATATTTAACTTCATTATTATTATAACTTACTATTGTGATGTATATTTATATTAATTTTTGGCAGTTTGAAGCGGGGCATTGCTTTGCGCTTTGGTGCTGCCAAAACATCGCTGAGGCACAAAAAAATGCCAACAATAAAAAGCCACTGAAACTTAAAGTATTTCATATCGAGTATAGGTAAGAATGTTTTAGCAAATATGTAGGGAGTTTGCGCGCAGATGAAGCTGTCACAGCTTGAGCTCACGTGGAAGACTTCAAATTAATCAGCAATGCAAAATTCTTAAATTATTAAAAATTACTAAGAAACTGAGCTGCGACGACCTATTTATTGTAATCTCTGTTATCAGCTTGGAATTAACGTTCAGCAAGAAAGCGAAAGTAATTCCCCAAAAAGTTTACAAAAAACCCAATGTGAAAGCCAGCGGGTATTCTCAACGCAAAGATCAACATCAAACACGATAGCACAATCACTGGGCATTCGTATAGTATATAACTCTTCAATATCGATATATTAGCAATGTTGCGCCCTCTGCTGTAGCTTAAGATTTTGAATTAATAAATAGAAAGAAAACAAGTCCTGAGTCCCTAAATCAACCGAGTCCCTTATTAGAGACTGGCACATAAATCAAGAATTTCATTTTGAAAATTAGTTGCTGTAACTATTCGATATTACGGAGGCCGTTGAAGAGCCTAGAATATAAATTTGCTTATTAACTAACTGAAAGAAGCAAAATATTACAAGGAAATTTGATCCCACATTCTGCATTCCTTAATTAAAACTTGTTTTCATATAACTCCATAAATCTAATTTATTGAGAAGGTGCAGCATGGCTTTTTTGAGTGACTTCTGCAAGAAAAAGCTAAATGTAAGAAAAACATAAACATTATTTATTATTAATAATAACTTACTTATACCACCAACGTCGACTGAAAGGAAAGGAAAGCTGAAATCAAGAAATGGACGCGGCTCTGGTGAAACAGCACCGATGCATAAAACAAAGAATAGAAGCAAAGGACATTTTGACTTGAAGAATTTCATTTTAAATTCAGTTGAGAGCTGAAGTTGTCACAATTAGAAATCGCTTGAAAGACTATTTCTTTTGCATCGCAGAGATATTCTTTAATACGCTGTGAAACTGTCCAATAACTTAATAAGCATACATAAATTGTATTATAAGCGAAAAATAACTGTGAAAGACTTTTCGCCTCTTACTATTCCCCTCAACTTGCGGTAAATAGCAATAGTTATTCATTATCGATTTATGAACGATATTACAGCAGCTTGTGAAGAACCTAAAATATGATTATTAAATAACGAAAAGAAGAAATTTGATCCCACATTCTTCATTCCTTTATATAAAATTCCATAAATCAAATTTATTTAAAAGGTTGAACTTTTGTTCTTCGGTTTATTGCTGCAAGCAAAAACTAAATGTAAGTAAAACGTGAAAATTATTTATGACGAATTAAAACTTACTTATACCACCAACGTCGAGTGTGAAGAGTGGAACGCTTAAATCTAAAAAGGGAAGCGGCTCTGGTGAAACATCACCGATGCATAAGACAAATAAGAGAAGCAAAGCTGATTTTGACTTGAAGAATTTCATTTTAAAATCAGTTGAGAGCTGACGTTGTCACTAGGAGAAATCGGTTGAAAGACTATCTAATGCAACGAACCGATATTATTAAATACACTTCAGAATCTTTATTAGCATACGTAAATTGCATTATGGGCGTAAAGATGTGTGAAAAAATTCCATGCAAATAACTTATTAGATTAGCCTATATCTGAAAAAAAAAAAAAAATACTGAAATGTAAGAAAAACATATGTAAATTATTTTTAATAAATGAACTTACGAATACCACCAACGTTGATAGTTAGGATTGGCACGGTTAAATCTAGAAAGCGAAATTGGTTTACTACTATTTCAGTGTTGCGTAAAGCAAGGAATATGAGAAAACGGGGTTTCAACTTGAAGAATTTCATTTTGAATATTAGCTGAGAGCTGAAGTTGTCACAGTTTCAAATCGCTTGAAGGACTGTTACTTATACTTTAATGCGATATTCTTCAATACGTTACCAAATTGTCTTACTACCTAATTATAATGCTTAAATGTGTGAAAATATATATTAGAGCACAGCCCCTGAACGATATTACGGCAATTGCTGTGAAGCTCATCATTCAAGATTCCTTAATAAATAATAAGAAAACACATGCCCTGACATTTTACACAGAAAAATGATATATTTTATTATAGAAGCTTAGTTTTTTACAATTCCATGCAAATAACCTATTAGCTTAGCCTATGTCTGAAAGAAAAACTGAAATGTGAGTAAAACATATGTAAATTATTCTTAATAAATGAACTTACGAAAACCACCGACGTTGACTGTAAAGATGGGTACGGTTAAATCTAGAAAGCGAAATTGGCTTACTTCTATTTCAGGGTTGCGTAAAGCAAGGAATATGAGAAAATGGGGCTTCAACTTGAAGAATTTCATTTTGAATATTAGCTGAGAGCTGAAGTTGTCACAGTTTCAAATCGCTTGAAGGACTGTTTCTTATACTTCGATGCGTTATTCTTAAATATGTTAAGAAATTGTCTTATTACCCAATTATCATGCTTAAATGTGTGAAAATATATATTAGAGCTGTATCGTCTCTCAGTATTCCCCTGGACCCTTCTTAAATAGCAATAAGTATTCATTATCAACCGTTAAACGGTGTTACGGCCCATAACTCAAGATTTTCTAATAGACAATTAAAAAAGCAAGCCACACAAAATTTTACATTGCAATATCTTCATTTACTTATAGAATCTTCTTTTTATACAGTCGGCAAGCATCTAATTTATTTACGCTACCATTCTATGTCTGCAACGAAAAATTATATATAAAAGAAAACTATGAAAATTATTTCAATGAATTATAGCTTACATATGCCACCATTGTGGATTGTTGCGTTTGGTACATTTATATGTAAAAAGCGATTCTGCTCTGCCAATACATCAGCATTTCGTAAAGCAAGAAGTACAAGGAAATGAGATGCTAACTTGAAGAACATCATTTTGAATATCAGTTGGGAGATGAAATTGTTACAGATCGAAATCTCTCGAGCGACTATTTCTTAGGCAACAAAGCGATCGTCTCGCATTTAGCGTTGTGAAATTGTCTAATTGCCTAATTATCGTACATAACTTGTATTATAAGCGAAAACATTTCTGTAAAATAGCAATAAGTATTCATTATCGACTAATAAACGATGTTACGGCCTCTGATGAAGGGCTAGTTTTTTTTAATAATAAAAAAGAAAAAGTCATGACAGAATGTTAAATTGCAAATTATTTATTTATAGAAACTTGGTTTTATACAATTCCATGCATCCATCTAATTTAATTACAATCTCAAGCTTAGCCTTAGCCCACGTCTGCAAAAAAAATTAAATGTTGAAATTTATTATTTGCTTTGAATTATAGCTTACGTAGACCACCATTGTTGACTGTTAGGCCTGCCACGTTTAAATTTAAAACGCGTTGATTCTCGTTCAATACATCAACGTTGCATAAAACGAGGAATACAAGAAAATGAGATGCCAACTCGAAGAATTTCATTTTGAATATTAGTTGAGAGCTGAAATTGTCGCAGTTTCAAATCGTTCGAAAGACTATTTCTTATACAGCGAAGCGATATACCTAAATATGTTGTAAAATTGTCTAATTTCATAACCTATCCTCATGCTTTAATTGCATTATAAATGTGTGAAAATAACTATTTAAGTGGTTTCGTCACTCAGTATTACCCTGGACCCTTGTTAAGTAGCAATAAGTATTCATTTTCGATTGATTAACGGAATTACGGCCCATACCTCAAGATTTTTTAATAGACAATGGAAAAAAGCAAGCCTCGCAAAATTTCACATTGCAATATCTTCATTTACTTACAGAATCTTCATTTTATACAATCGGCA